ACTTTGGCTTTGGGAATACCTTTCATGCAGCTCAATCGGGTTTGCCGCAGTCACGTGCGTTAGCTGACATCGAATGACGAAAATAAACTGAAATGGAGTTTTCAGGAATTCAGCGCAGGAAATCCGCTTTATGGAATTCCACTTGGCGGTGAATCAAGAACGCTTTATATATGCACCGACATTGCCCCTCGAGCGATTGAAAATCTTAAAGAAGTCGGACCGTGAGGGTTTGCAGTCGACTCTGTTTGGCAGTATCTTTTCTCCTTCGAGATTTTTCTCGGGTTGATGCTAGTACTATGCTCTTGGGTAGGCTATAGTAAAGGTTCAAACAGAAATATATGAAGTTCATGCGTTTTTCTGATCTTTGAACAACCGTCCTACAGATGATAACATCGTTAACCCACCTTTGTAAGTAGTTATTGAGGAAACCGAACAGGAGCCATACTGTAGAAAGTGCGGCATTGCGTTCCAAACTGGAGGGATTAAAGCGTTGCGCCGGTACGTCAGTGTCGTTGTTTTTTGTTATGTGATGTACTTCAGGCTGGCGTATTTTCTTCTGACGATATTCTTCCCTCGGATCTTCAGAAACTAGTGCACAACACCGTATTCGGCTCCGTGTGACCCGTTTTTGGTTGTCTAGTCATGCGTCGACATCCGGTCGCTCAACTAGAAAAACTCTTCCGGGGCCAGTTCTTCAATCATTATTCTATATGCTCTTTCTCGTTCTAACATAAACGGGCCCTGCTATGTACACTTACATGATTACATGAATAGCTGATTCGTATTTGTCAAGCCACTTAATTCTATCTCCCGGCTGCACAAATTGATGCTTGTGATCACCCAGAGTGATAAATTGTTTGGAATAACGTACGTTAGTTGAGTACGGCCATCTAGTTAGCTAACCATGATAAGCAACTGCTATCGACAAGCCTTCATGGGACCCACTTACCCAAAATAGTTTGATACTTTTGCATAAGGTTTATTCAAATCATGAGAAATGTGGAAATTTGGGTTCATCAGTATTGCATCTTAATTAGTTCGAACCAGAGGCTCGTTTGTAATCATCGTTCAGTGTGACATACGGACTAAGCTCTCCATTGGCAGTTACATACAGGTGCACGGTTCAAGCCGTTTGTGTCTGTCCTTTAAGGCCTTACCCAATGACAGTCATTCTGTCTGCTTGTTCTTGTCTGATCCGTCAAGCAGAGGGACAGCTTTTTTGTCATAAAGGAAACTGCTCAAAAGGTTGCTGAAAACCCTGCAACCTTGTGAGTAGTTTCCTTTATGAAAATATACTGCGATATCTCGAATATCGTGCCAACTGAATCATGAGGCCACCTGTGTGCAGCACATTCAGTTGTAGAATATCATAAACGAGAGATTCAATTGAGTCTCCCGTGAAAACCAAATTGATTTACAAATGAGTGTATTTCTCGAGAGGAACAGTTTGTTTAGTGGTACCCGTCAGTAAGGCGAGCCAGCTGATTAAACCCCCTCCCTGTCGTCCATTCAGACTACAAAGCCCTTCGCATCTCCTCAAATTCTATAATACTATTCCTGAATATCATCTCTCCTTGACGTACAACCATTCCTAGAGGTGGGATGTAATATGTCTTCACGTCGATCACTCTAATGTAAACTTTCACCGTGTGTGATCATGTAAGCAAATTGTAAACTGAATGTATGTAATACCGCCTCGCACTCTGTCCCAAACTCCGACAGTATAGTAACTCCACGATGATGTACGATGCGTGATATTATCTACATAAATCTGACAAGCGTCTGATGCAGTGCGCTGATAGCTAAATGATGAACCAACCGTTTCGCACACCGTAGTTGTGTGGCTGTTGGCCTGAACCACGGCGCATAGATGAGCTGACGACGCGATATACTCTAAAACATCCACTCGTTGGCACTTATCTAACAAGCTGGCAAAACAAGTCCAAATTAAAAGCTGATTGAGGCCACAAAGGATGGAGCAGCTTCTGATTTATGTCTGTGTTCCGAATCGTTAGAGAATTTACAACTGTTTCCAAATGCTATCGATTCGCTCCATTTGGCGTCCAGTTCTACCTAGTGTAACTTTGGAAGGGTAAACATCTTGCGCTCTAGATTGTCAGATTTTAACAGTTTGTGCAGAACGTTGGTTTTTTTCACACGGCACAATGAGAGAAACTTGGTTCTGTCTTAATGGGCTGCATGCGTCCTCCAGATAGCTTGCGAGGAATCATTAGCCATTTAACAAGGACCACGACGGACTTTTAAGAACCGAGAAGATTAGATGTGGAAACGGGACGGAGTGAGTTCAGTCAGAAGCTCGGATTAACTGAGTGAATTTTTAGTAACTTGAGTTTGGTTCCAAGAGCAAATGAATCAGCGCAAATCTGGAGGTGGAAATTGCTTATTCATCCTGTGAAACGTGGCTAATGAACAGAACTGTTATTCTTTGAATAAGACATCCGAAAAAACAAAACCTTCTAAAAAGGTCGATTAAAGATCGACAAATATTCCTTCTCCATTTCCAAGTACCATCATATTTTGAGAAAAATCAAGCAATACTGTGTCGTAGAAATTATTAACTGAAAATTTCCCGCTTCCTAACGGATTCAGGCATTGTCAAGCTCCAATATTTTTCGGTATTGGACAGTTAGACAAATAGACCTAGGAATAATATACCAATTTCTACCACAAAAACTTCTGGGAGTAGCATGACCAGTTTGGAGCCACAGTAGTAGTTCCCCGCCAGATTTCTAAAGGATTCCCTTCTCTTTAAAAGTTCCACATATACTCCACGTCAGTAATCAATGATTTAGTCTCCCAATTACAAGTTTTCCGATTCCCCAATTAAAAAATGGATCTGATCATTCATTCACAAACATGAAATGGCGTGAATTAGAATATTAGGTCCGGCCAAGTGTTAACTAAATGCTAAACAAGTGAACGTTATTCATCAACGTCATCATCATTGATAGCATGACGTTAGTGTTCAACACCGATGCTTCATTGCCGTACATCAACGGGATTTGACGATGAATGATAGTTGATGATGTTACGGTAACGCCAATCAAATGATTGATGATCCAGAATATCATCCTGATATCGAACCGCCGCTAGACCAATCAACCAAACTCACTTTCAGTATTAAAACACGTCATAGAACGTCGCATGAACCGTGGGGTATATTGGGCTATTTGAATAGGGCGGCTCTCAGTTTACAATTCAGTCAGTAGCCTACGGCGACTTATGGATAGTTTTGCAATCTTGCACTTTTTCAGCTCATACGGTTTCAGTTTTATTGAGGATGGGGACCGTGAGTGGTTGCGGGAGCGTTGGTATGGAGTGAACTTAGCTGATACGTCAAAAACGTTAACATACAATCAAATGAGTGACGAGAGTGATCAGAACATTTTTACAGCATTTTCTGTCAGGTCCTATAAGGTTCCATCAACTGACAGTTGAGAAATTCCATTATGAATGGTATGTGACCATACGTATTCTTTGTGCTTCTAGTCCCCTGCATACCACTGAACTCGGAACTAATTGTCTTTCTAAAAAACTTGGATTATTTGGAGTTAGTTGAAATACAGAAATCAGTCAGGCACGCGTTACAGGGTCACACGTTTTGGTAGTAGTGCCATGCCCATTATTACGTATGTATTTTTCGGAATGGTTCCCGACTAGAACTATATAAATCAGTCAGATTTGGGATACTAACTTGGTTCTAGTCAGGATTTCCATGGGTATTTTTAGTCACTTGTAACAACGTAACTTGGTGGAGTGGGTTTACTAGGTAGTCGCTGGTCCATACGTTCACTTGTCTGCGTTCCATTTGGTGCTTAGTTGAGAGGTCATCAGAATCAAGTGCGACGGTTGACATGCCCAAACTGGAAAGGTAGAAAATCAGACTTGGTTATGAATGATGCTCTCGTAGACAATAGCACAGGATATCTTGAGTTCCGTCATACACGTACCTTTGGATACGAGGATCCATGGATTTGCCAGTACCCGAAAAGTAATCCTACACTTATTGAACCGTAAAAGGTTGCCACAAGAGCATTTTACTTTTTTTGTTCTAGTTCTCCCCCTCTTCTACAACTAGTTCTTCAACAAATGCTTCCTGAAAGGCAGTGGGAAACAAACGCCCGGTACTGTTCTATTCTTTACAAAGAGCGTCTAACGGCGCATCTATTCTGGATTGGAATCTGTTGAATTTATCAAACAACAACTTTCTTCCTAGTTGAAAGCCTCAGAAAAGGAAGCATGCTTGCATGTCTCATCTTGTGGGGCTGTACTGTCTTCAGCATGATGAGCTCCCATTGAATCGTGACTGCCGTGTTGAGCTTCTACAAGCCCGGACAATACCTCTTTTAGCATGGGTTTTTCTCCGGCTTACTGCTTAAGAACCCCTTTCTGTGTCAAAAAACGAAGTTTCCGCACTATGGGGTGTTATCGAGCCCTAGAACCAGAATTTCATTGCACGTTTTTATATATTCTCTGTAGAGATGGCCTCTCTTTATTGAGCACCATCTTCACCGGTTATTGAAAAGAGGATGCATGCGTTTACCGAATGTTAAGGTATGAGTGGCAGTCTTCACTAAAGTGGATGAACTTCATCGAATCAGGCGTCAACATTCTCAAGGAATCTGGCTACTTGTGGATATAAGATGAAATCCTTCCAACATTTCGCGGAGAAACTCGAGCAGAAATTGCCAGGATGTGACATGGTCACATCCGCTTGTTAATTCCCCTCCGTAAAATCCCCCGTTAGCTGTTCACCAACGATGCTTCCATGAGAAAGACTTGACTAATCAGATCACCAACGAATTTTGGCTCATGCACACAATCAAGTGTGACGGATACTCACTAGGGGGATAACCTTTCTACTGATCCACAACAAAGATGAGATGTTCCAGCTATTTGCCCCCCTATATAAAGTTCACTTCCAAACAATCTGAATACATACTCTGATGATAACCTCGATTAATTCTCCTTTTCCAGCAATGACACGGAAATTCTTGGACAAAGCAAGCCTTGAAAAGCGTTTTCGCGAGCTGGATAGTGACGGGAGCGGATGGCTGAGTAAAGAAGAATATACTAAAGAGGTTGAACGTATGGGCTATCCTGCTTCATTAGCACAGGCAAGTTTCCTCATTACTTTGAATAGCGGAGGTTATTTGGAATAATTTCGTTTGCCACAGTTCGTTCCGCCACATTCATGAAATTGAAGGCTGAGTAAATCATTCTGTCCACTACGTTCATCCATAGTAAAGGTGCATCATCGATGATACCAAGATTTCAGGCCTCATCTACTAACCAGGGAATTGAGTTCACAACTCCCTAGATGACCATCAATAGGAATGGAAAAGCTTTGCAATGACTCCCGGCTTCAATTACAGAATGGAAACTGTCCAAATTTCATACCACTAACAATCGCAAACAGACGTCGAATTTTGAGTACGTGCGGAATCCCAATAATTTATGACCAGTCCTCTTTTTCTTACGGAATCATTGTTCACAATCCAAACCGATACTGGAATGAAGTGGACTCGACTTCAGTCCGTATTAGGGCCAATCACGAGGACCAGTTTAGAGCTGTTCTAGCGCTTGAACTCTGGAAGCATAGCATCTAACCAGGGAAACAGGTGAACGCTTGAGGGATACATCTGATTTCACAGTAGTAGCTCACTGGCGCCTATCATGCCTTATGAGACTCATATGCCTTATCCAAACAAGGTTTTCAGGGTTCAAATCCCTACAATTTTAAGGATATACATTGCCGACCATTGCGAGTCAAGTGTGCTGCGGCAGGACAGAGGAAGGATTACTCAAAAGAAGCTGCCATCAAAACAACTAATTGGTAATGAGAACTATACAATCGCTGGTAGAAACTAGCACCCAAGTTTTTGAATTTAAATGAAAGGCCAAAAACATGGGAACACCTGTTTCAAGACTATCATGAATAGCTCTAATGTACAATATGAATATAGTAGCTATTTTACTCACAGGACGAAACTGCACAATTCGAAACTCTCCAATGTGTAGGCCGAGCGGTTGCTTCCATTTTCTGCGTAAACCTTTTTGCCCGCACCCAATCATCATTCACTCAGACAGCCATTAAAACTTACACCCAGCGTCGCTTCCTTACCGGCATTGTCTCATCTACTGGTACGAGTACCACAATTCAACAGAGCTATGTATGCGGTTCGATTATGGACGTGCTCCATCGAATTGAAAACGTTTATCTCTTTTTACGACCAGCATACTAACGAACATCCTGCTGACGCCGTTTTCGCACTTTGTTTTCTCTTGAGGCGTAATGCCCTGCAGAATTTGTTCTTGTTCCAAATGTACGCTGTAGTTCAGTTTTGTCATCCTGTTCTCCTTGAAGTTTGTTGAACAAGTCATGCGTTTCGGTCGTGGATTTTGGTCTAAACAACTGATGATTTTTTTCAGACATTTTGGTGGTTGATGAGTAGTTGTCAGGCTTTAGGAGAGAAGACAGAGAGCTTCATATCATACGCTCAGTTTGTTACGGGATATTCATGCCATAAGCTCATGTGTTCATTTGGAGACTAGCGAGGTGGACGTGGAGGGATCAGACATGTCAAACTCTGGTAAGTAGTTTTAAGCTTCTCTTTGTCTAAGTCATTCTATCCAAACACATTTCCCTGACAACGTAGATAAGCAACGTTCGTTTTCCATAAACTTATAACACACAAGCTGACTTCACGTACGAGGCAGCGAATTAACGCACAGTTATATCTCTTTGCAGTTTTCTTGGATTCACATTCACCCCATGTTAATTTGAGCAGTTTTCTCTCTCCTCTCCCGTTACAATGATATTGAAGGGTCCACATCAAAAGGAGGAAACTTCGGACTGAGTTTTCATTCCTATTAGAGCCTAGCAACAGTGCGTCGGCCAAACGATCACATCGTTGAAGCGTGACCATCTTTGTCCTTTCGGATAAGTCATCTGCGTCAAGATTATGCTAGTGAAGTCAGGTGTCCGGAACTATAACTAACTATATGCACTGCCGATAAGATCTAGTGAGAACGGAGCCTTAGTCCAGTGCTCCCTCTGTTTGGTGTGGCTTCAATGGAATAGTTGCTCCGAGACAGAACTACAGTTCAAATAGAATGGATGTGAATAGAAATTCAAAGTAGTACACAAGAGAACATTAATCATGGTGTCTTCGCAGGCTGGTGTGGTATATAAATTAATCGAACCTGCTGGCGAAATTTCGAAAAAGAATGATCCTCACCCTCTAGATGTTTAACTTACTAGTTCTTCAAGCTCCTTAGCATCATTTAGCACCATTTACGACGCCCTTCATAGTAAAAGCTCAGTTGCCTTGGATCTCCGTCAGAACATCAATCTCGCCATGTCCCTCACCTGAACCAAGTCTGTTTCATTACACTGTATGATTCTGTTTTGTCACTTTAACTCTGGTAGCATCATTGCACTGGTACACATGCACCATCAGCTGTGCTGCATGTTGTCCGTCACCGTCAAGTCACGCAAGAAAGGTTGCCTTGTTTACGTCTTCTACACTTGAGTTTGACTGGGCTTGGTGACAAGTAAACATCCAAAATCGCGATAGAAAAAGACAATTATATATAGCACGGTTACTCAGTGGCTGCGACTTGGTATGTGAATAACGGGTTTCGTAAACCAATGGAAGCCGATCAATACATTAGTGTGAACTGATTCACTATGAGAAATTTATAAAACCTTGAAGCAACCTACCTACAGGAGGGATATTCAACACTCAGAGTGCATAGCTAACTTAAAGGTAGCTGGCAGGGTGGGTGAATTCGACAGGAAGCAAAACTGCACATCAGCTGGTCGGTCATCTAAACCTACATTGAATAGTTACGATAAGGCCCAAACAAGCGGTCTCATTGATTTTCACCTTTTGGCTACAGCCGTTAGGGCTTGTTGACAAACTGCCAGGAACTCACTGGAGTCGGAATAACAAGGGAGATATTCCCGAACAAGATACTTCAAGGGCAAACATGATCAGTTCCTGACGAGGCTCAGGCAATTGGATGGAGAAACATAAGTTTACGTCATTGTTAAGAACGTAGCCTTGTAGAAGGTATCAGCATGGCTACGTCTGCGCCCGAATTGGTTTAAACATTTTCAAAAACCAAACCAAATTAGGGATGTTCACCACAGAAAAGAAAGTTGTCAAATGTCAAAGTCCATAAAATAGTTATTACGCAATGGAAATTACTTCTGTGAAGCAGTGCAACAGAGCACTCTTTCGAGATATTTACTAATTTATCCATGCGTCTGATATGAGGTTGTCAAAACCCAACTCAAATACAAGCTCCACCGGGCTCAAAGGATTTAGGTTGTAAACAAACCGTAGTTATTAATTAGACAACGTTCTGCTTCTGACACAACATTTCACCAGGCCAAGTGAGCAGGTCACCAACTTGGCCAGGATTTTAGACAGACGGAGAACCAATCAGTAAAAACTCTTCAGTTTATCACATTAGATCAGTGCTGAGTGTCAATTACCGGTTTTTGTCAGTTAGTGTCGTTGTCAAAATCTTGAATCGACTTCTCAGTCGGTTCCAAACTTTTTCCAATTGATTGATACCAATCAACGTTTGTGCACTCCGGGGTTGGAACTTTGGATTTGCGAACTGCGAAACACCAACCCGTTTTTTATTAGTAGGAAAACGAAAGTTTTGCAAAATGGTAAATTTCCAGTGTTCTTCATGCAAGGACACCTCGTGTATGAATTACAAGTAAACGGGGACCACATATTACACCTAGGACTCCAACAACGAGTTAAACGTACATCTAACTGAAACAGTGAATAGATACACCATGTACACCGACATTTCGCCCCAAATTTTCTTGCCTTGACACTCATGTATTCCGACATATTACTTTCTTCCTTGATTGTGTCTTGACAACAACAAAGATGACGAGGATTCAAGCTCTGATGTGGTCAAACAATGACCGTGTAGTTGTTCACCTGTGGGTTCACACTGACCAGTGACGTGCCGTTTTGAAAGGCCTAAGATATGTGGAAACGGAGACGTCAGATGTTCACGACAGCGAAGTGGGTGTGAAAGTACCGACTAAGTAAATCGATCGACCTGGCTTGGACAAATAGCTGTAACCGAAAAAGCCAATCTGGTGATTGTCCGACTGCCACCACTGAAACCCTTGACTAATCTATAGATAGTTGGAAATAGAAATACTTCGCACGGTTTGTTAGCTGTGGAGGGTCACGACGGGACCTGTTTAACACCAGATCACATGACAAGGTTTGTGTGACTGAATGACAGTGGCGCTGCAAATTAACGAAACTACTGATCAGTCACTCTTGACCGAAAAGTCAGCTACTGAGCTACGTTACTAGGAAGTATTGCTTTTGAATTTCCCTGTAAATTCCTGGAACGAGCAACGAGGTTTATTCTCACTGCACTCGCTTTTTTGGAATAAAGCTGTTGTGTACTGTTGTCGGTGAGTTCTTTTTGGCACCAGGCAATAGAGTGCGAACAGCAGTTAGATATGACACTTTCAAATGTGATTCTAGAAAGTCCTTTTTCGGTGAAACTACGATTCATGAAGGTGGTCAGAGTACCGTATACTGCAAACAATGAATTCTGCCATTTGATCTTTCAAAATATCACCAATATATATTCATCTCAGAACTTCATTGACCAGTTGTAAAACATCAAGAAAGCTCCTGGTTAGAATGAGGTATAATCCTTAACGTCTGTGATATAATGGAAGCACGAACAAAATAAATCAATTCTACTTAGGGATTACATGTACTCGTTTTCATTTGCTTCCCTTCGATAATAGTGACAGTTTTTGAAAAATTTCCCTTCATATGAGAAATTCAATTCAGTTCATACAAAGAGGTGAAAAGATTTCGTTATTTTATTAGTTCCAAACAAATAGGAGACTTGAGAGTATCGACACACTTTTATCACCATGAACTACGTACGTTGCTGCCTCCCCTAGTGCGTTCCTTAGCGGACTGGCTACTGCGTAGAAGACAGAATTACGGAATAGTACTAAATTTCTTTCCTCCCAGCCCTCCTCTGGTCAACAGTGAAGAAGTGCTTCTGCATGATTTTGGGACAGACTTTGAAAAGAGCTCTACCCTACACAAAAGAACAATTATTTGTCAGTTGTTCCTAGTAGCCAAAAGCTTTTCGGCTTCAGTCTGGATAGAACAATATTCTCCAAACTTTTTGTTCATCTGAAATATGACTGCGTTCCAAACAAAATCTGTTCCCACCACTCAAAGGAAGCCATCCACGAGGATGAACTGAAAGCAAAATGTAAGGTCTGGTCAAGCAGAGTTGAATGAACTATTTTATGACATTCCACGTGTAAAAGTTTGCAACGAGTGCATCACGCATCGGGAGGAAATAACCAGTTGAGCAGCCACTTTTATGTTCCATGCTTGGCAGAAATAGCATAACAACTTGAGTGGCACTACGCAGGATAGTTTAGCAATCCATCATTCATTTTTTGATATTGATAGGTATTTATGAGGGTGTTTGACAAGGACAATGATGGCCAGGTTACAATGACGGAATTCATCACCTCACTAATGAACGTGCAGAGAGTAAGTTATATGTTTGTGCGCTCGTATGCCGTTTTTCATTTCCTCTATGCTTGTGATGAAGATGAGTAAACAGTTTACTAATGCTGAAGTGAGTGAATTACTTAGCAAAATGAATAACAATTTCCCATGCCAATGCTTCCAGGATACAACAGTTCAGTCTAGGTTCCACCAATCTACCCTTTTGTCAAACATAGTTCCTTTGCGTATTGGTTTTCTGATTCACTTCCGATGCTTTTGTTCTTAGTAAATATTTCTAATCACAGTGAGTATATTGTTATACACCACGGTGTGAATTCCGGAGCCTCATTGAGCGGAGGTGTTGGTTTAGAACATCCCTCATCTAGTAATAAATACTTAGGTGGCTAGTTGTGCCTGGGACCACTTAAAGGGAGGAATCTCACTTTGGATATTTACGGAATGACTTCTTTCTGTCAAGTCTCAGAACGCGAACCCTAATGAAAATGTCGCCAGAGGGATGGGAATAATGCTGCACTTTTTCATGGCCCTCTTTACACTCAATATTATACCGGTGTACGAGCAAGTAATGCTTTTTTCGTTTTCCTCTGCTTGCATTCAAAAAGGTTGCTCTTTCGTCTTGTGTCTAACGGAATTCACAAACGTAACTATTCAAATTGAAGTGCGTTGGTGCTGAATCCCGCCAGCTAGTTTGACTCGATAATGTAACTGCTACGCTACCAAGGCCGTGAGTTTTCTAAGGGAGTTCGAACAACAACTCGTCAATGCTGTGTTTTCTAATGGTTGTTTATCGCCTTATGTTAACCAGTCGTCTTGGAGAGTTTGGAAGACTTGCACCCTTATCAAAGCCCGACATGAACCAACTGAAAATGCAGGCCACCTAAGATTTGAAAGCTCTTTTTCGGATAGGCTGAGTCAAAAGAATGGCAGTGGCCCAAAGCAACTAGCGAAATTTTACCAAAGTATTTCTGGGGGTCACATGCGCTGGCAACAAGATGCCTTTTCTTTGGATAAGTCATAATCCTTTGACAAACTTCGTTAGGCGGCGTGAGGTGAAAATCTGACCAGCCGAGGTTGAATGATGGCGGAATTCAGTCAGCTTGCATGGATCTAGTAGCGTTTAACTCAATATGAACATCGGACATGACTTTTGAGAAGTATATATGTCTACGCTTTCATAAAACAGTATCAGCAATAGTTCTGTAAGAGACACTACTCTAAAGCACATGGTGGTACTTTTTTCAGTTTCCAAGATTTGTTGACTGAGGCTTGTTTCAAACGTTTCGTCACCAATGGAGGATGAAAGCGGCAGTGCGTTATCATGAAGCAGAGCAGTGGTGCACTGAATAGCGGATTGAGCGCACTTCTACAGTCATCAGCGCACAACCACAAACGCATAGTTTCGGTTCATGTCACAACAAGGTACCGATGATGTCATCTGGTTTGGTGACAAAACTTTGGCGACAGCAATGCCAAGCTGAACGAGCAACTCGATCGTCAACGTTACAAAACATCACGTCATCATGTGATCCGGTTGTACTCGTAGGAAACTCAAAGCAGAAATAGCAAATGCGAATTTCCAGAAAAAACATTCCATTCTTCTACAGTTAAAGCCATTTGAGATACGCTGTCGTTGGCCAGCACGTGGGAGCGGAAACTGGATGAATTCCGTAGTCTATTATTGAACTCTGTGAGACGAAATCTAATGACCAACAAAGGTGACATTCTAGAAGGTTCTCAGAACACTCTCAACTCTGTTCAGACTATTTCTAATGTGTATCCACGACACATTTTGGTAATTCCTGCATAAAGTGATGCGATGATCACATTTATGAACCACTCCCTCCAACTTTACCCTCTTTCTTTCTTTATATAGATTGAAGGTAGCAAAAAAGACCAAGGGTGATACACGTCCCGTGAGCTGTTTATCGACTCAACTACCCTCCTTGCCAAATGCTTTGTTTATTGCTTTGAATACAATATTAACAAGTATGATTTGGACATTTCTGACAAACATGAAGCAAATGAAAGCGTCGCGGATATTCCTAGTATGCAACACAGTCTGCAGTGTTGTTCCTACAAACCATATAACTTGCAGGTAGTTCCGTATGCGAGCCGCTTTGGGAATTTTAGCGTTTTGATAAATATAAAGCAGCATAATGCAAGCGGTGTAAAGATTCAGACAGAGCTGAAAACATAACATCATATGCAAATCGGGAGAACCTTCACTTTCCGATGAGAAACTCCTTCGGGATAGATCGTGCTTTCTTTCGACAGTCTGATGACTTGTACTAGAATATTCCAGCCTTGTAGAAAATTTACTCTAGACTTTGGTGAAGTTGACTTTGAAGGTAGCTTGATCAGTATAGGTAATAAAACACCAATACTGATGCTAATCCGGTAGAATGGCATGAAAATGTAGTCGATGAACATATTTTTTGGTATCCAGACAGACCCATCGGTTGGTTTTGTCCCGGACATCGGTTCTATGAGGGATTCCTTTCCACACGAAGTGAATAATCTTAATTTTTGTCCTCGATGATCCCGTTGATGATAAAAATTCTTTACGAATTGGAATTACTGGTTATTGTGCGAGGCATCTGCAAACCCGGAATTTCTTTCACTGTTGTTGTCTAAGGCGCAATCCGACAGACGAAAAATTATTCAACTTGGTGTTTAATGAACACTGCTTAAGCATCTCACTTAGTATGTGAACAACAAAGCAATAAAGCAACGACTTTCTTACTTTTGCCAGAAGCAAACTTTTCAAATTTGTATTGGCTTTATCCTTATGCCCGGAGTAGTCCTGTTGTCTCACGGGGTTGCTGAGAGCATGGACCTCTGACATCATTTTCAGTATGGATTGGTTCTGTCTCAACCTCATATAAAGCATTCGTTACTGGAAACGGAAATGAACCTCACTTTTTGTGGACCTGGCTTGTGACCACCGTTCTTTGGCAGTGGCATGAAGGTAAATCTGTGGAGCTGACTCATCCTGTTACAGTGACCGTAAATTAGGAACCTAAGTCGACCGGCGTCCGTGCACAAGATCAATGCTTAGGCAATCTGTAGTTTATTTTGCCAACGAACCTTCCTTAAGTGTCACTGTTTCAAGGGAAAATCTGGCTTCCATTGAAAGGGCGGAGATTACTTGTTCCTTATCGGTGAAGTATTGTGCATCCGGGATGGTAGCTGAGATGAGCTAGGTTTATTAACTTGGCCAGCCAACTTCTGTCGGTACTTTTAATGTGCTTCGTTTTTGCACGAATGCGCTAATACAAAAACAATACTCTTCCTGTACGTTCCGAATTCCGAGTTTTACTATTGATGCATTTAGATAGCACCTTAACGACGATATCGATGCCCAATGAAGCAATCCCTTGGATATATCAATGTTGTCCTAGCGTAGAGTTATGAAACAGGGCTACTTGTGTCATCAATCAAAACGGTGAGCATCCTGCGAAGAAAAATCGAAAAAAAAGCTGACCAGATACTTATCTGTTACGGGGGCGGGGCATATGACTGCGAAGAAGAAAGTGTCGTTCACCTGGGAGGCAGCGATCTTCCTGTTCTAAAGTAATCCGATGTTGAGATGGATTAAGGCAACCATTACCTGACGAGTTCTACCCCTGAGCGGGAATATGTGAAAACAACCAGGAGCACACATGACATCGTGCGCACTAACCCAAGTTCACAAAAGGTCAGAAGGAATCCTACGGCCAATGTTTATGTTGACGTCCCATGTTTTTTCGGTCATCGATAAATTTCGCACCTCATTTTGAAAGACATACTTACGGCACTGCACTGATTTACCTAGAAAAACGCCGATAGCAATCCACCCATTTTGTCCATCCATTCTGATTGATATGTTTGCAATAGACCCAGTAAATTAGTTTTCATTAACCTCAGATTTGCAAATATATTACAAAACTAAATTAAAACGTTCAGCTTAACGTGGCTGCATTGTACAGAACAGTAAACAAGGTCCATTTAACAGTAACTGTGCGAACAGCAAATCGACCCCTTGCAGAATAAGAGATTACTACAAAATATTGTTACTTCACAAGCCAGGGAAGAAGTTTTGACAGAAAAACCCTACCATGTTTTACAATCGTCTCTTGTATAGCTCTTATGGAGCCCACCAAAATGAGGGGGTGCATACATGACAGTAGACCACATATGAAATAGTAATAATACCTTAACATACTCCGCGCACTAAAATCAATGATGTGAAACAAACCGAGAACAGCCAGGAAAAGTTCCAACAATTTCACCAATGGTGTGGTAGCAATGTAGCCGAAAGTACCAATGGCCATGGTAGTTTGAGCTTGGAATTCAAAGTTATTTTTCTCCGGAAGACTCGACACTCCGGTGTCACTTGTTGGCTCCGTATGGGCTGTTCGCGACTCCTCATCAACAATAGTGTGTCGGCTAGTCATGGATCCACCAAGGCATCGAGAAAGACGAGTTCTGATCATAAAATGCGTTACTAGGATGAATGCGGTTGGTAGCACGAACTGAAGCAGGATTTCCAAGGCCATCAGTACGGGATCATCATCGACAGGTACACATAAGCCAAGTTCAGTATATCGGGTACCTCCACTGTTGGCATAAATTGCACAAGTGGTATAGGTGAAAATAAAGATGTAGCATATTGCGAGATGAAGGTTTGTGCGGCGCTTATAGTGTTGTGCACAATAAACTGCCAAAAACTTATCGAGGGCAATGCAACACACGTTGGACAAAATGGCTACTCTGACGATACGCAGTAGGATAGTATCTTCGATTAAGTAGCACCTTACGCTTGACATATTTTCCGTCCAAGGTCTGGGGTAAGCATTATAAGCCAGGTAGGCACACGCCAGGCAGTCAAGGACACATTGGTTGCATAGAAGGATCTTCGTGAGCAAGGAACCAAGAAGCGTATTGATCAGCTCAATGAGGACGAATATGTTGATACAACCGCCCCAAATCAATGTTAGTGACAGTGGGATAATGTGTGCGTACGACAGCGTAGAAAGGAACACTATGAAATTCTCATGACTGTAATCACACTCGTGGTGGTCCGCATTTAGTTCGGCCGAACTAGTGGT